CCACCCCTGCCAAGATTCAGGGAACAAAGTCCCTGCCTCCTGCAGAGCCTTTCAGGGCTGCTCCGGGCATAGTGTCAGTCCTTCATGGGTCCCGTCAGCCAATCCCCACCATGAGCACAGACGCCACCAGACTCGAGGGCACGCAGGGCCAGGGAAGCTCGGAGCCACCTGGCACCTGACGCCAGGGCATGCAGGACAGACCACGTGTGCCCCTGAGCTCACCCTGGGGGAGGAGGGGGAGACCAAGGAAAATCCCAAGTTGATATTTCTCATCTAAAATTTAATGAAGCTAATTTAAAATACCTTTAATGTTTCAAAAAGGGACTTGTAATTTCCACAGGTGTGACCACAGGCACAGAAGGTTTGAAGGTTTAAGAACCAATGTTAAAGAAGCTGCCTGAGGCACGTGCACCACGGCAGTTAGCCAAAGACCTCTCTTTCCGGCCTCTGCAGACCAGCACCAAAACCCTCGTGCCAGCTGGGGGACTCAGTACCCTGTACTGTAGACTCCTCCTTCTCCAAGCATCATTTCTCGCGGAGTCCAAAGGACCAGCTGTTACCCACTGTTAAAGAGATCATTCTCGGAAGTGAAGGGGACAGAGTCAAATTTATACACGACGAATGTGGAAGTTGTCATCTGTATACAGACTTTCCACTTACGGCGCAAACACAAACTTAGTCCACTAATGAAATAAGTAAGCTTTCCCAACAGCTGTCATTAAAACAGAGTTGTGTTCTCTCATGTCTAGAGGCTGGTGCCCTGGTGCAGAGACTTCAGTTTCTGGAGTTTCCGGGCCATAGACACCTGTCATAATTCAAAGTCTTCGCAGATATGATTTGTTCAGACTTAACAGAAATAACCAATACATGTGGCCATCATTCCTTCACATCCTAAGTCACTGGGACAAATTCACAGATTTACCCTCTCATAAAAATGGTTACCTTATAAGGAAAAACTGCTTAGAAAGGCGGGTGAATTCACACAGCTTGTACACAAGCAGCGTGTGAATGAGTGTCCTTCCCGGAAGACCCCGTCCAGCCCTGTCGTCCCCGGGCCGCAGAGCCCCGGCCGCCTGATGTTTGCTGTTGTAGCTGTTTCTTTTCTAATCAGTCTTAGACTTAAGTTGAAGGCTTTACTTTTCTAATATTATTAGGATGTAAAAAAATCTCTTCTCAAAAACTCTCTAGAAACAACCTAACGAGGACACAGGAAGCCTATGGCCCGTCTGGATGTTGGGCCCCCACGGTGCTCAGTCACAGAAATGTCCTTCCCAGGAGGACTGCCCACTCCAGCGTCTTCGTTAGGTGTGCTCAGACGCCAGAGAAAGCTACTCGTGTAAGAGCCAGCGTTCTTCACTTTGCACGGCACCGAAGGCACCTAGAAAAACTCCGTTCACCTATATTCACAGGTCCTAACACATGCTTTGGGTTCTGACAACTTCAAAAGCATCTGCGTATAAATACTAAGTGGATTTTCAGTCACAAGTCAGAGGTATTAACCATCAGCCCTTTGGACGCACTCTGGGACCCCTTTCTCATCCCTCAGAGTTCTGAGGAGACGTATGGACACAAATTCATCTTTCCAGTAAAAACAAAAATGGCATAACAACAACAGGTTTGGGGTTTTGAAGTAAACATCTTTAGGAAACAGGATTAGAGGACAGAGACATGAAGGAGCAGGAACCCTGAAAGCGTCCTTCCACACAGAGCGCTTCCTGTAGTGCCGTTTCCATGCTGCCCGTCGACAGACTTTAAAGGTGATGGGGTTAAAACGTTATGACACAGCACTCCTGTGTCAACTGTGCTCTGCAGGGTAACACTTAGAACTGATAGGCCAGCTCTTCACGGCACTAGAAGTACAGAGAGATCTTAGGAGACACAGAAGTTGTGGTTAGGCAAGTTGAAAAGGTTGCAATCTGTTACTTAATTCACTTTTTTTTTCTTTTTAAAGATTTTATTTATCTATGAGAGAGAGGGCAGAGGGAGAGGGACAAGCAGACTCCATGCTAAGTGTAGAGCCCCACATAGGGCTCGATCGCATAACCCCAAGATCATGGGCTGAGCTAAAAGCAAGAGCTGGTCACTCAACCAACTGAGCCACCCAGGCACTCCATGTTGCTGAATTCATTTCCGAATGGGAAGCAACTTCTAGTTTGTGGGTGAACATTGTGATTTATACACGAAGGGAAGCAAGAGTCAGAGACGGCTGACATTGTTGGAACGGTAGACCACTGGTGAGATGGCTGCAGGCGCCCAGGAGAAGTGGTGAGGAGGACGGAGAGAAACCCAGGGTGTGGAGGAGGAGGAGAGACGGGATTACTGGACCTCTCATGAAGACATCAGTTTAACAACAGACTCAAAATCAGTATGGCGTGAAGTCAGACAAACAGTGTCCCTGCTCGCACGAAGGGCCATGACATCGGCGTGCGAAAAACACCACAGATCGGACTTCGCTATGCTTAAAATTCAGGGCTTGGAAGGCCTTTTCCCCCCACAAACCACATAAAGGGAAACGGTGACTGTGAGTTTCAGCATCTACGCCATAGAACAAAACAGTAAAATTAAACCTTTGTCGCTCTCCCAACAGGAAGAATAAGCCATTGCACTGAGGCGGGCCGAGGGGAGACAGGGAGCAGGGACACACGACAACCGTTTCAAGCCAACAGGAGACGACCAATCACGTCTTCCCTCTGTCTGTGTTACTCAGCATTTTCAACTTGGGAAATCTGGGAGGAACGGTGATGAGCTGTGTAGGCTTTAGGCGGTGAAGTCACGGGCTTTGCACACTCAACAGGACTTATTTTAGAGCCGACAGATTATTTTACCTAAGTGTCACAAACAAGCAACATGTATATACTGCAAGTTTATTTCAATCACACAAACAAAGTTAGCGTGTAGGAAATTGAAATGAAACAGTACGGTAAAAATAGCAGAGAACCGAACAATTGAAAAAGGAAGCACACCTAAAGCATGAGAGTCCAACATTCATCAGTGTTTCATCTTCAGTTCGGACTGACGCGTGAGGCTTGCAAACTGCGGACAAACCGGGAAACCATGACGACTACTTGGGGGAGATGTCAGCACCGCGTTAAAATGTGTACATTCAGTTGGTTTGCAATGGGCTGCTGGCCATGTACAGAGCATGTAGGACAGGTTTGTCACGGGTCACATCACAGTGTTGAGGAAAGAAGCGCCTTCCTGTCGTCAGAAAGGACCCCCTGAACTGCACGCAGCTTCGGACACCCAGTGAGCACAGCACGATCACCGTGGGCACGACGGGCTCCAGGGAACGTCACCTCGCTAAGGAAAGTCACTTAGGCTTCTGCTTCCCATCTTAATTACCGAAATCTCTAACGATGACAAAAACTGTCCCGCAGGACAGCCAACGTGTACAGTGACTGGGAGGAACACGTTGAGTGATCCGGGCGAATGCACACGGATGGACCGCGATGTGACCCAGCACTGGCTCTGTCCCGTCACAAACATCCTGGGGGACTGGACCAAGGCACGAGACAGCGAGCGCAGACGGCAGCCCTTCACTAAGGTCCAGCGTGCGGCTCTAGTCTCTTCTCTGACTTTGGACCACTTGTACCCAGTACTCTAACCTACTAGAGACTAACTTCACCAACAAAAACCAAGTGATTGCTCACCTGATTTATAGGGGACAGGAGTGTCTACACCATCCAAGTGTTTGTATAACCAAAAGGACAAAAATAAAGATCAAAGAGCCTCTGCTTTCTTCTAGAAGACAGTACGTTAGGGGCCGGCTGCAGCTTGAATGCCTTTCCTACTGCTGCCTGACGATAAGTGGTTGACAGAGAACTGCACAGCTGAATTAGGGTAGCTTATCCATCACAGATTAACCTGAAACTGAACTCTCCACAGAAACAGGAACTATTTAACAAGGAAAACAATTTCCTCACTCAAACCCTTCTGAATGGTAAACTATGCTACCTCCAAGCTCTGACCGACTGAGGTTACAAAACCTAGAAAGCAGATGAAAATGGATTATTTCTTCAAAATTTTAGTAAAAACTTCAGATAATCAAAGATTTCAAAGCAAATATGGCACATAACTGAAGCATAAATCAAGATGGGAGAGCCTGGAGAATTTGTGATTTCCTAAATTAAGAAAAAAAAAATCTATCATTGCAACATATAGGATTTCTCCTCTATTTTAATCTTCGCGAGTTTCCAGGAGAAGGGCATGGGTTACGCCCGCACACAACCGCGTGGGGATGAGCGGGGGTCTAGGTCCTTCTTTTCACCACCTGAGTCTCGCTCGGTCACAACAAGACAACCACGCAGAGCCCCTCACTCGTCCCCTCTGCTGCATGGTGTCTGTGACCTCAGTTCCTGCGGACATCAACTACTTCGTGTGTTTCCACGTAACAAAATTCAAAAGCAGCTTCTCGGTCAGGAACACATACCTGTCCAACTGCAGGGCACCTAAGTAGTAAAGCAACTGCCAAATTCAGGGACCGGATTTTCGAGTTCCGCAGTATGACGTAATCCCTGGGAAGCTCAGAATCATGTTTCAGACCATGGAAATTACTCAAGTTAAAATACAAACAGCTGAACACATGATGTAAAAGATTGAGTACTTGGTTCTGCTAACATATTTACCAATTAAAGTCACAAAATAGTCCTCATTATTATTCATGCAGGTAACTGAGGAAAAAAAGTGCAGAAATTAAAAGAAAAATTATTCCTTCCCTTCCTCCCGCCTCCCCCATACTCTACAAAAGGTTTTCCCTGGGACCAGGCCTTGAAAAGGCCGCTACGTGTTAGTGGGACATGCATTACTGTCTGCAATTAAAAAAGCTAATTTTGTGGTGGTTGTAATTACATTATAAAAATGTCCACATGCATAAATCTAAAAAAGGTTGAAAACCTACAGTAAGTCTACAATATATTGTTTTACATTTGACCACTGGTGTGTTATGTAGGAGTCATAGATTTTGGTAAAGCATTTTAACAATTTAGGAAGGCATCTAAATCTTTAAATTCTGGACGAATTTTATGTTTTAATCTACAAAATTGCATGAAGGCTAACTCGAGAGACTTCCTATCATTCTAAAATTCCTCAAGCCAGACAAACCATTTTTAGGACACTTTCTTATAAATATCACCCTTGGAAAGCACATACAATTCCATTTGTTCCACATTTTAGGATCTTAACCTACACAGGGCTGATCTCCATCCCTCACGGAATATCAAATGTGATAGGAAGACAAACCTGAGAGAAACATTTACAATACAATTGTGTAACTTGCTCATTTCTTCATCAGCACTCTCTGAAAACAAACTTCTTAAGCCTTTCTCCTCTTTATTTTAGCAATGGATTGTGAAAAACGTGCGATTTTGTCTTGACATGAAAATATTTCAATGCACGGCGATCTTGCCTGATAGGTTTAGTATTTTCTGCATAACTATGAAACAGGAATTCATATCCGACTCTTTCATCCTGTTGAAAAGGTCAGAAAAAAGCAGCAAACTGGGAGGGAAATAGCTTATCGCCAGAATAACGCGTCTGAAGGCTCGTGAGGATGTTGGTTTTCCTCTTCCGACTGTTTGTCTCCACTTTCTTCTCGCAGCTCACAAATGTAGGGGTTTGTTGTTAACAGCTGTGGTTCGCAGGGCTCTTTCTCCAGACTAGAGTCCTATTCCTCCTCGGTTCGTCTCTCTACGCAGAATTGGACTTGCTCAGTTCTTGCCTAATCGCTGGGCATGAAAAGGAAACGTATTTCAAGTAAATACAATGGTGAGGTAAAATCAGTGAGAGATTCCTTCTAAGAAACCTCAGTGGCTGTCTTCAAACTCCCAGTAACAGAGAGCCAAGCAGACCCTGCATCTGCTGCTGCACAGACTTTGGTTTTCTTTTTTTCTTTTCTTTTTTTTTTTTAAAGATTTTATTTATTTATTTGACAGACAGAGATCACAAGTAAGCAGAGAGGCAGGCAGAGAGAGAGGGGGAAGCAGGCTCCCCTGCTGAGCAGAGAGCCAGATGTGGGGCTCGATCCCAGGACCCTGAGATCATGACCTGAGCTGAAGACAGAGGCTTAACCCACTGAGCCACCCAGGCAGCCCCAGACTTTGCTTTTCTTAACACAGAGACGGTACTAGCTTGTGTGCACAGACACACACACACACACACACACACACACGCACATGCACACGCTCATTCACACTCTCCCTTTCGTGTCCACAATGATAACACGGACGTTGTGGGCTCAGAGTCCATAGAGAAGGCAGCAGGTTGGGATGTGAGGCCAGAGACAGGCCCCTCTGCCTGGACTTTGTTCTGATGTTAATCAACCCCTGTCACGTAGGGACCTCGTTTAATCCCAATTTTTACAAATAACTTCCACCGTAAGAAGGAGAGGGCTCCTTTCTGACATCCTAAGCCATGTGAAGGGCAGGATACTATACAAAATTGTTTTATACCCTCAAGTAATAAACTGGTTACTTTTTATGTGCATTTCCTTAAAAATGGGTATTCTCCAACATTATACAGTCAGCAAAGCTGTTTATATACTCACCATCAATGAGCTCTTCTTTTAGCTTTGTTAATTCTTTTCTCATTTCATCTAAAATGTCCTAAAATATTAGAGAAAAACATCAGAAATACAGGGAGAAAAAATTACTGCTACAAATATTCTTGTTCACATAGAATTTTAAGAATGCATGAAGTCTGCTGTATGGTTTCTGTTGCCGGACTCCCTCCCAGACAAAGGCTAAGCGCAGCCGGGCAACTCGTGTTTTAACAGTCTTCCCAGTGTTCACTTCTTTCAGCCTAGCGAAACGGGAAACATTATAGTGCTTTCTAAAACTAAAAATAATTCTATCATCCAGAGAAAGGTAGGCTTCAGGTGATTTCTAGAAAAGATAATAGCTCTGCTTTTAACCTTGTCTTCTGGGAGCAGCCTGGAAGATGGTGCGTAGGGCAATTTCAGGGAACAGGAGATGTAAACCAGATAAGCAGATCCTGGCCTGTGTGTGATCTGGTTTGAAGTATGGGGTTCCTTAGGAATCGCACTATGGCTGTCAAACCTCCCTTCAAGGAATCCGAGACTCCCCTGGAGCTGCCTCACGGGCGGGCTGCCCTAATTGGCAGAGGCGAGGGTGGATAGGCCCCACCTGGATCTATGTGGTCTGACAGGGCGGACGCAGGCACACGCAGCCTCTGAGCACTGGAGACGTGGCCAGTGTGAAATGGGATGCGTTGCCAGAGTAAAACACACACAGATTTCAAAAACTTAGCATTAAGAAAGTAACGTGTAGTAATTCTTTAGTAATGTTAAAATATTGATTACATACTGAAATACTATTTTAGTTACATTAAATTAAATTAAACTAAATACATTAAAATGAATTTCACCTATTTCTCCCTACTTAGTTAATATGGCTATCAGAAATTTTAAAGTACTTGTGTGAGCCCTGTTTGTATTTTGATTTAATACTGTTGTTCTAGATGCTTCTTCCTCCATGAAAACCACTCCACCTTAAAATATTTCGCAAAATCTGTATTTATAAATTCACTTTGAAATAACGGACCATCACCCCACCCCCGCCCAAACTTAAAAAAAATCACTGAGAACAGGGGCTCCTGGTGGCTGAGTCAGTGGGGTGTCTGACTCTGATTTTAGCTCGGGTCATGGTCTCAGCATTGTGAGATCAAGCCCTGCGCCGGGCTCCGGGCTGGGCATGAAGCCTGCATAGTACTTCCTCTCCCTCTGCCCTTCCCCTCCCCAAATTGCCAAGAACAGTGTCACATGCCAGCTGAAAGGGCTCCAACACGGTGACACAGTTTGACACCTACCCTTTGAATGATTAGTTTCCACTATGGGACCTTTTCTAATACTGCACACCTCAGGTAAAATTAAATTTCTCTAGTTTAAGGTTCATTTTCTTAAAAAGCTTTTCATGTTTAAAATAAGGTTGAAATTACCAATTAGTATAATAACTCCTCCACTTTACCAATGAGGAAATAAGCACAGAAATTATTAGCACAGACTATCAGATATCCTTACTCAAATTATAGTAAAATCAGCCCCAACAGGAAACCTTTCCTCTCTTCTCCACTACTTCAGGTAGCCAAAAATTTACCACGTGTTCAAGTGTGTGTAAGCATCTACTTTAAAGTGTTTTTAAGAAAAGAAAGCCATGTTTAATATACAGGAAAATTAGGGCTTGATCATCAATGACCTCAAGCTTCCTTTTCAAACTATATAACTCAAGTTAACTTTTCTAATAGCTTTGCAACATAAAAATCAGATTTATCTGAAATTGGCTTTGAGGAACGATCTGGGCTCTGATCCTGACTCAGCTGCTGACCCAGCCATGGGACCGAGCCAGGTAACTCCTCAGAATCTCAGACGCCAAGTCTGAGTCTACACACTATCCCACAGGCCTCCCACGAGGACCAGAAAACAGCACCATACTAAGAGCCCTGCTGACGCCTGGCCCGCACATCTACCGGCAGGTCAGTCCGAGGCTATGACAAGGACTGGTGTGGTCACTGCTCTCAGAGGCCCCCAGGAATGTGGGGTAGGACGACCAAGGAGACAAGACCCTGCTGGCGGCAGCAACTCTGGGTTCCAGTCCGTGAAACTGACCATTGTCTAAGGTGTGTACACTGGCCCTCCTTTAAATTTTTCTTAACACTACCAATTTTTTTAAATTGTTTTACCTCTCCTGGGAATTAAATATTTTAAAGCCCCACAGCTCTTCTCACCTATCAGTCCTTCCCCTTTCTTGTTTGAGTACCTATGTGTATAAAGCAGAGGTATCCAAAATATGGACAAGATCCTTTTCTTTTACAGAAAGTTGAGAGAATTGTTCATACTGTTTCGTTACTTGTCTCTCTCACCTAGCTGGGTGAGTGCTCACCATTCAGTACATAACATGCTCATTTTTGATTCCTTAATGACCACTGGCCCCTGCCCAACCCTATAGAGTTATATACTTCTACAATAGTTTCTTAGCATAAATTCTTGGAAGTGAAATTATTTGGTTCAAAGGTAAAATATTTATTTATTTTTAAGGCTTGTGATCTGTTTTCCTAACTGCTTCCTAGAAAATAAAAGTATCCGAGAATGCCCATTTCCCCGACATTCTTGCCAAAACCAGATTCACTGGGTCCATTTTTGCCAATGGTAAATGGAAAGTGTAACCCCATTTTCCTTTACAAATACATACCACGCGCTGACACTGAAAGCTGACGTTACACCATTAAGACACCTGCCCCACCCTCCACCACTGCTGGAACTTTATGTGAAAACACTGAACCAAAAAAACGAAGATTTGAAAAAAAAACAATTCGGTACTCGTGTTGCTGTTTCCTTTGTACAGAAAGATCTAAACTCTATTTCCCAGTATATTCATCATCCGTCAAATGCCAGCACACCAGACATTTTTACAGAGAAAGCAGTGCACGCGGCGGGAAAGGGAGGGAAAGCTGCTGTCAGGCGCCTACCTGCTTCAGCCTGTCGTAGTCTAGCCCCTCCGTCTGGACGCCGTTGGCACTGGGCTGTGATGAAGGTGCAGATTTTGGTCTGTACAAATGGAATTTCCAGGACAGGTAAAAAATACTTGGGATGTTTAAGGAGTTCACAAAAAACTGCAAATTTATCAACCCAACATCAGATTTCGGTACTTTTCTTAAAACACAGATGTTAAAAAGTTAACCGTCAAAGTTGCAGCACTGATTAGAACAGAAAATAGGAAGCATTTTTCACTTTGCTCAGTGTTTCCAGTTCTTTGTAAAGAAATCAGACAATGGTGACAGGAACACGTTCTCTGCCCAAGAGATGGGAAACGGGGCCGTCTGCAGCACAGTGACCGGGAATGGACACACCGGACGGACGAGCTGCGACATCAAGGCCCAGGGAACACAATCTCGTTCTTCTGAAAGTGTGCAAACCAACCACCAAGATGCATCAGTTTACAAATCCGATGGTTTATAGAAAAAGCCACTTTAGTAATAAGCACATGATCTGTTCCATGTGTTTCATGCCGTTTCAAGCATCCAAATAAATAAGAATGCTGGGGAAATAATTAAAAGATTCATATCCAGTTGGCTATGTGGCTGTTTCCGGACAAGTTTTTATGGAGATGCTATCTGAACGAGTTTCCAACTACTTACACAAACTTATTTTGCCTTAAAAAAAAGAAAAAAAACAAAATAGGGCAGTGCCTGGGTGACTCAGTCAGTTAAGCGTCTGACTCTTGGGTTTCAGCTGGGGTCATGATCTCAGGGTCGAAGGACTGAGCTCCACGTGGGGCTCCACACACCATCGGGAATCTGCTTGGGATTCTCTCTCTCCCCCTCTCCCTCTGCCCCTCCACCAGGAGCACTCTCTCCCTCTCAAATAAATAAATCTTTAAAAAAAAAAAAGAAATGCCACACAGATGCAGTTTGCCAATTATTACTACACGCTCAGAAATTTAGCCTCTCTTAAAAATTCAACATGAAGAAATAAGTCTTAGAAATTAGGTATGACTTAAGCAAAAGCTTCAATAAAATAAACCAGTCATGGCTCCTCTCCCATTCCAGCAAGTAGAGAAAATCCCAGCGGAAAATCTAGAGTCTTAACTGGGCACTCCTCTACATTTTGGTTTAATACCAGTAAGTGGCCACAATTTGAGTTCCACAACTCAGTGCAGATGAAAACTATCAGCTGAGTCATGGATCTTCAAGTTTGCAGAGGACCAACATCACAAATCTAAACCAAAACTGGTATGCCCAGTAACTTCTCAAAGTTATGATTTCATAACTCTTAAAGGCATATTATGCTCCAAACCCACAGGCATTGCTGGGGAAGATGAAATAGTAAGTTAATTTGCTTTCATATCAAACATAACAGCTTAACATGTTGTTATATAAAGCAAGTCGATCAATTTCATTTTATGAGACCTCGGCTGCTCTGCTTGGACGAACCAGGGAAACCAACTTTCAGAAAACTTAATTCAGTAAGCCCTGAGCGAGGCACTAGGACATAAGAACACTTACTCCCAGGACGTATTTCCTTTCCGCTTTGCGGAAGGGACTGCTGCACCCCCTGGTCACAGAAGAGGCACTGAAGGCCCCGGCAGGCAAGGCAGGCGCTGTGGCCACAGGCCGGTCTGGGGAACACCCCTGACGGTCCACACACTGCATTTCAGTCACCCACGCTGCCTGGCCCTGCTCGCCAGACTCACACTCTTAATTACTTAGCTTCTCTCTCACTTTTCACATTTAAGTGGTAAAATCAGTGAACGCTTTTCTCCTAAGTTATATAATGAGTATTCCCAACGTTCATATGAGTATCTACAGTATGCTAAAGTTAACCGGGCAGTGTGTTATGAATATATCTGTACTTATTAAAAACACAACACATTACTGTTCCATAATAAACGATCGAGGAAACATGCAATTAAGAAATTTAAATTCATGCTAACATGCAATCCACCACCATCACCATGATGATTAACTAAAGGGGGGAACTTTTCATACTGAAGGAAAGAAGTAATCACCACTCTTTTAAAAAAGGTTTATTAACGTTATCCTATCAAGGGGCCCTAGTGGGAAAGCAGCAAAAAAACTGAGAAGATTAACAGAAGATCTCATTAAATGCTATTTCCCTATGTCCTAGCAAATTTTCTAAGTAAGTCTTCTGGTGACAATGATTAAACTACCTTGAGAAAAGCAGGAAAATGATTTCATGCTTGTAATATAAACATTTTATGCAGATTCAACTGACTGGCAAACTTACCAAATATTTTTATCATCAATGGCATGAAAATAATTTGGCCAAATACAGTCTGCAGAACTCCTGACTCACTGCCATAGGCACCCTTCCATATACTGTTTAAGTCATGTTCCTAGTAGACTTTCACTACTTTCACTTGCACAGGATAACATGGGCGTACCTCGGTTATTTATAATCTATGGGTTTTCACCACAACTGACAACAAAGTATGAGGCCTTCCCAGAGGTTACTGTGTTACCTCGAAACAGCTGCCTAACAACTACCACAGTATTTAAAGTCCCTGTTCTGCCAAATCAATTCTAAATATAAGCATGAACACTTGAGGAGTTTTAAAAAATAGTCAATTTCTTTAGTTAAGAAATACGTGTTTCTTAATTTTAATTTTAAAAAAAAAAAAAAAAAAAAAAGGTGTCACAGGACTCATCCTAGAAAACCAGCTGCCCAGGATGGGAGACGTCAGACTGGGAAAGGCACGTAACCTGACCCCAAGTGCGGACAGGCCGGGGATGTTCCTCCAGGAATACGTTTCTCGCAAGTGCAGCTGTGATGTAGTCCCGTGTTCCATGAACTCCCAGTACGAGTCTCCTGCTCTACCTTTTAAAGGCTGTCTCAAGCTTCTACGAAGAAAAGCCTTTAGAGGAAAATGCAACAGCTACCGAGGGCCTGGAGAAGACACAGGCGGCCTCATACACCACTCCAGCCTTGCTGGGGTATATGCTGTTCATATGTATCCTGATCCAACTAGGGAATCAAGGCAGGAGAATAAACCCTATTAGCTTTCCTAATCAAAATCTCGTGTTTTTTAAAAAGTGCTCTAAATAAAGCTAAATACGAAAGATTTGCTCTTCCTCAAGTCATCTCCCTCGTGGTGATTACCAATCCAGGTAGAAAAAGCTCAGCCCTATCCTGAACATGTTATTCCGAAGTCTCAAACCACAAAATCACACCAGGATGATACCTGTGTAATGAATCATAGGACCTGTTGTCAAAAACAATCTGATTTTTCCTTGGAGAATCCCGTCTATGAAGGGGAAAAAACCATTTAAAGGGAAACACAATAGAACTTTTAAAAAATAATGCGCACTATGTTCCTGTTTTATAGATTTGTAGTCACAGCCGAACAATGAAAGGAGTCCATTAACCTTAAAATGATAGTTTTTTTTCCCAATATGAAAGGAGGTACTCGGACACTAATTCTAGTTATGTAACATACTTGTTTGATAGCTGCAGAGAACGAAAAGTAAATCGTGGTGCGTTTGCGATGACCACCTTTAGAGAGTGCACACATAGTAAAGGCTACTCCACAAGGTACCAACAAGTACAGAAACATAGTAGAAATCACTGTAGCCTTAAGTTCGCAAAATTAACTCTTCTCAGAAAGAAAGAGTGTGAACTCTCTTTCTACCTTGAATATAAGATCTGTGAGCTCTTACTGAAAACCGTATAACTCACAAATTTATCAATGGGACATTCTAGTCATAGTTTAAGGTAATTTTAACAACATTTTTGCATTTACCCCACTACCTGGCATCTTCACTGAATAAATACGGCACAGTGTAGCACCTCACGTGCATGACCGGAGTCAATCCATCCCACCCTAACACAACCTCGACATGGACGTTTGTAAGAGAAAGGGGTTCTTTCCCCACCACGCAAGGATGAGGTGCACATCAAGTGGCCATATTAATACAATGGTTCTCAGCAGGAATGGGGGAGAAAAGTTGGGAAGAAAAGCCACACAGTTTAGTCCTTCCAACATACTTGCAAAATCTTTTTGGCTTAAAACCGCTTGGTGTGAAATTTTAAGACACGTTATCACTGGCTGGCTCAAATCTATCAAAAGGTATATGAGTGGTCAGAAAACGACCGGGCGTTTCCAAATTTTCATTTCAAGAAAGGAGAAGAAAACCAACCTACCAGAGCAGAACACCATTATGATACACTGCTAGATAATAAGAACCAATACATGGTTAATCTACAGAAAAGTCCTAAAAATGAAAAGGTGACTTTCAGAACACTTATTAAACTTCCTTTAGAAGTCTGAATAATCTTTTAAAGACTATTTTTTAAATGAACCTAAACACATCAAGGAACTTTTATTCCACTTGGGAGAACCCACTTCATGTCCCTCCATGGACTTAGGGTTTGCTCAGGCTCACCACAGAACCCCTATCAGTAAGGTACAGATGAAGAGTAGAGAGAAACAGGAAGATTCTTCCCTGTCCCATTTCTGTCTTCAAAAGATACATGGGACATCACAGTTCTGTGCTCTGATATGTACTCGATAAATCAGGCTTCAAAATGTGCTAGTGGAGAAAATCTATAAAAACTACCAGAGACACACTGGGAGGCCACATCAATCAGGTATCTGATAAACGTAAATGTGTAATTTTCTACTCTGTTGAAACCATGTCCACCAAAAGCAATTCTTGCATTTCCTCCTAAAATAAAATACATTCATCTTATAGTCACTGAGAAACTAAAAGCTTCTACATGGTTGAAAAGGCTTTGAGGAACTAAAGAAACTGTGCTATCACCAAATCCTTCCTACCAGCACAATGAACCACATAAAAACAAGTCCAAATTTAGATTTAGGCTAACATTGAACAGATTTGTGACAATGTGAGGTCTATCCTTGTTTTTTATTAGTTTTCTATTATTAGAGCCAAGTTTGCTTTTTAAGAGGTAAAACTAAAGCAAACAACTCAGAAAGAAAAGGCCAAAACCTTTTTAGTCTCTAAAGACATACTTTTTTTCTGGAAAAAAAATGTAAGTCCTTTAAACTATCTCATAAATCCAGAAAAAGTTTCATCTATGTTCAAGACCTGAGATATAAATTTAGTATGACAATAAAATATGCATAGCTAAGAAATGCTGAAATTTGCTAAGACCATGCCTCACGGCCCGTGGGAGAAACAGAAATTCACTAGTCTTGTTTCTGGGCACTCTTTCCTAAGTTGATTTTAACTAGAAGTTTCAACTGAGAGAGAAATCAATCTTTCTACTTCACAAATTCAAAACTTCAGGTTTTGTTTTGCTCTCTCTTAAACATTGCAGGCATTTCTCTCCTGCTGCCTTTCAATTTAAAACATAGCAGTTTCTTTGAAAGATTACATTACCAAAATGAAGGTTGTCATTTTGAGACTACTGGGGAAACGTGACTATATCACATAATATCATTGTTCAATGTTAGATTTCTTGAGAGCGATAATGGTACTGCGGTTACACAGGAGGATATCCTGGTTCTTAGGAAAAATGATGAAGGATTTTTGCAAACTGCTTTTTCACTCTCCAGAGGAACACAAAGGCACGTCTCTTTTTTCCCAATGGGGGCAAAACTAATAACTGGGGAACCTGGGTAAGGGGCACACGTGCATGTGCTCTACTATTCTCTCAACTTTTCTGTAGTTTTGAATTTTTTTAAATAAAAAAAGTGGGAGGAATAAAAGTGATTTTAAAATTTCAGACAACCTGTCTAAACAGTAAGCATCCAGACAATCGCTAGGAAAAACACCATGGTGCTCAGCAGGAATAGGATTCCAGGTTTTATCTGCTTCTCTGTACAATTTCAAATCCACCACTAGAGCCCAGAGAGGTTAATTTCTTTTAGATACACGTGTAGCATAAAAGTCAGAAAGTAGACATACCTGGAGATAACAGGTGACTTGCTGCCATTCATTGTATTTGTTCTTTCCCAAGGTTTTCTTGTTGGTTCTTTAAAAATAAGGAACATAAGTTATGAAGTGCCCTACGTGCTCCCAGAGTAATTAATTGCAAAAAAAAATAACGAAATATTAAGTAACCTTTTTTTATTTTTTTATTATTATTATTTTTTTAATTTATTTGATAGATCACAAGTAAGCAGAGAGGCAGGCAGAGAGAGAGAGGAGGAGGCAGGCTCCCCGCTGAGCAGAGAGCCCGATGCGGGGCTCGATCCCAGGACCCTGAGACCATGACCCGAGCCGAAGGCAGAGGCTTCAACCACTGAGCCACCCAGGTGCCCCACGAAATACTAAGTAACCTTAAACATGCTTTTGTACAGATGAAAAGTTTTTAGTTACAATTCTGAACTTTAATTAAAATCTATTAAGGATCCTAATTTGTAGATAAGAAGATATTAATAAGCAAGTGTGACGAGCCCCCTGGGAGAGCCGCAGGCCGTGAATCTCTGACAGCGGAGGCCTACAACCAGGAGGCGCACCACCTCTCTAGCAGAGCAGGGCTCCCTATCAGAGACGGATGTCTCAGCTTGGGGCCCGGGGAAGCGTTAGGGAGCGCAAGAGAGAAATTATGAGCAAATCTCTATAAAAATATGGTCATCCCCTCTGGCAGGGTGGGGCAGATTCATAGTTCTTCTCAAACTGTACATGGTTCTGTGACTCTAACTTACAGTGGAGTTCTACAGTTTTTGTGTTCTTAGTAAAAACATCTGTGTTAATTTTGGCTTCTGGAAGAAAGATAAAGCTATTACAGTAAGTAGTTCATAAACCAGAAAATTTTTAATGGAAGTAACATTAACAAACTGAGCTGAGTCCTATTTAGGAAAAAGTCACAATATTTACCACAGTACAGCCTTCAAAATATTGAATAATCACCATTCAATAAGGAGAATGTGAGATTCTTTTTTCCTTTTTGACAAATGGGTCGCAATCACACAGACTTTTTTTTTTAAGAATTTCTTTCTTTCTTTTTTTTTTAGAATTTCTAAACAGTGGAATTCCAAAGGTCCCGGACAGTCTCCAACTGAAAATGGATAGGAATTAACGTGGACGTTTCCCTATAAAACCATGGCCATTATGGATGTTAACTCATTGAAATGACCAAACTTATTCCCATCACTTTATTTTAAACTAGATAAAGAGCTGAACAGGTAGATCTGCTCTTCGCTTTGGCCAAACACAGGGAACGGCCCCTCCCGTCCTCGTCGACCCCGCACCGGTCAGGTGCCTCCAAGGGCAGGTAGTTTGTTCATATTCTACGGAACAGCCTCGCCACCTAGAGTCCTTGACATCAGAAACCTCACGGAGCTCAACACCACTTCCCCAAAGCTGTAACGAAGCCTCTTTTTTCCTTAAAAATGAGAAGTCTTAGTTCCCCGATTGTCTGTATTACCCAGAGGCATGGTCAAAAGGACAGCGCTCTCCATCTGAGAATGTTTTGAAATGGACATTAGTGCTAACTGCGTGCTCACCACGTCTCCACCTTTAAAATTCCGGGATTAAAAGTCCTTCCCTTCCATCTAATCATATACGTCTCCATGCTCTAGTGAATCACCTTAAATCATCAACAGCTATACACATGGAATGTGTAAAAATTAGGATTTTCGAAGACAGAATCCTCAGATTCTGATCTTTGGGTTTTGACGGATCTTTTCATATCACGAAGGCAGAGGACAAACAAGTCGCTGCTTTTAAGGATGAACGAAGAACAACATTTCCATCACCAGGCAGGCACTTGGCTCCAACACGGGTAAACAGGGCATTTCCAGTTGAGGAGTATTAGTATTTCAAGGTTCATAAAGGTTAAAAGAGAGCTCCTGAACTTACCGGGTGTACTTGTCGACGAGGCCTTAGAAGTTACAGGCTCTGACTCTTCCTAAACAGACAGGAACACTTATTAACCACACGGAGACTACCAGAAACCTGGAGCAGAGACTCAGAGGCTCACACTCGTCCACACCCAACACATCTGCTGCGTTGCCTGCCGTGCCCTTCATCAGCCCCCTCTGCCTTCCACCGCAGCCCAGACCTGCCTCCTCTGTCCTCCACAGCCCCCGTCCGGCACTGGGCACCGCTACCGAGCCAGGCGTCAGGGCACCGGAGCCCAAAGGTGGCAGGGAAGCCACGGTGCGGCGTGTCCGACGGGGGCACGCGGAGCGGACTCGGGGCGGGGGCACAGCTAATAACCACAGGGCTCCCAGGGGATCAATCTAATTCTTTCCTTTTCAACTCGAGGAAAGAGAGACCCGAAGAGACTCCAAATGCCGAGCAAAGATGCGGCACTGGCTCCCGGCTGAGCGCCGTGCTCCCCCACTGCAGCCCCACCCTGGCCCATCTCACAGGAATGCTCTGAAAACGTGACACACCGGGCTCAAGACAGCCGTCTGTACCATGTGCAGAGCTGACGTAAGAAACTGAACGTCCAGCTAACCTTGGACTTCGCTCTCCTAAAGAGCTACGCCTGGCTTTCCCATTTTCAGTTGTGGTCGACTCTCCTTACTACTTACATTTTTGTCCTCTTTTTGTTCTGTTTCTACCGTTGATCCCTTTTCAGCAATTCTTCTCCTAGAGAGAAGGGATATCCGACTTTTAAAAATTCATCTTAGTGTAAGAAATACTCGGAAAGGGAAGAGCCACATCTAGTTACACTGCACGTGGCCTCAACGAACACAGCCCTCTCGGTTCTGAACGCGTTTACACGGTTGCTCACTCACCTCCTGGCCAGCAGGGCGCTCATCTCTTCCATCAGCCCACTGCCTCCTAAAGGAAGGGGTCCATTCCCACGGCCCGTGTCCGACTTCAAGGAGGCCGCGTTCACACCGACGGTAGTCCCTCCGCTTGGGAAAGAGCCATCCTCCATCTTAATGAGAATACAGACAGATAGTAAACTCCCGTGTTTAGGACCTTAATTTCAATACAAACATCCAGATATTATTTTTTAAGTCTTTCTAAGAACCTGTGGCATGACTGATACTAACATTCTATTAATCAGTGGAAGTTTCATCCCAGTTTACACCAACAATAATGGGATAAAACATTATCACGTCTCCCTGTTCCCTACACTGAGGACACGTCACTGTTGTGGCAAAAAAAATGCGTAATCTGCCAAAACATGCATAATCCAAGTGCAATCTTGAAGAAACTATTGGGGAAACCAAACTGAAGGGCGGGCTCCAGAGTCAGCTCTGTAGACCTCGCCCAAGTCAACCTCAGGTATGAAACTATGAGGAATTGTCCCCAATTTTATGGCAAACTCGGGACCTCACAGCTAAATGTACCAACTGATCTCGGGCTAGAAAAGAAAAGTGCCCTAAAGGACACTGTTGGACAATACATGACATTTGAATCCACTTGCAGAATAGAAGAGTCCATCAACTAAACCCCCCATTCCTAAGCACTCTCCAGTGGGCGTGGAGGTCAATGTTCCTGTTTCCACAGACCACACACTCCAGCGTTTAGGGAAATGGGGGTGCAATGTGTCTGACTCACTCTCAGTTCAGACAAAAAAGGGAGAGTATGTGTGTCCCACAGAAGGAAACCCATGCACAGAGAATAATTAAGCAAATATGACAAAATGTGAAGTGGTGAGACTGCGCAGTGGGTTTACAGAAGCTGCATTCTCCTGACTTTTCTGTAAATGTAAATTACCTCGAAAATTTTAATCAGTGAAGTAACACTGGGTTCATGAAAGAAGGCAGTAAACAGGCTACCCCAGTCACCGAGGAGGAAGAGGCACAAGCAGACAGCACAGAGATGGGAAGATGCATTTACCCGGGACACTTTCCTCAGTTTCGCTCCGGCGATGGCAGCCGCAAGTCCAGTCAAAGGGCGATTGTCTTCAGATGCAGATCCGGCAAAAAATCCAGATGCAGGGAGTGGGGGAGCGGGAGGCGGAGGGGGAGGCGGGGGTGCTTGATTAGGAAGAGGGGGCGGCGGGGGCGGGGGTGGAGGCCCTGTAGCAGGGAGTGGAGGTGGGGGCGGAGGCCCCGGGTGGGGGTGCAGCACTGCTGGAGCCGGCACTGGCCCCGGAGGGAGTGGTGGGGGGGGCGGAGGTGCTGGTGGTCCCAAGACAAGGCCTGAGTGAAAGAGATGTTAAATAAGACCGTCAACAACAGAGCCACACGGGGCGACCTCGTGGACAGGGATGTGGGATGCCTCAAACATTTCCTGCCTATTCGTGAATTCTATTTAAAATAACGTTTAAAGTCTAGATCAGTGTTAAAAAGATACTAAAATGCAAAGCCAAGTATGTGAGGTCTTACTTTAACGTTAGAGCTTTATTAACAGAACTGTGCGACAGTCACCCAGCTCCACCTCTGGGGTTCCCAGGGCTGGGGAGGTGCTTCTAAAATCTGTGATGGAGGCAGCACCCTGAAGAAGCAAGCCTGTGCAGAGGACTGCAGTTAGGACGGATGGAAATAACAGACCCCCAAGAGTCTGTGTGAACCTGTCACTGTTGAGACCCTGGAGCCTACACCTGTGAAGACCTGCATTTACACTCTGAGAGATGGCCACAGTGGCTGGACTGAGAACAGGATGGGGGGGGAGGGGGGAGGGGGGTGGGTCCCCAGTTCAGCATCTTAAAAACGTTCCGCCTTCAAATGCCATGTGTACAGAGTCACTGAAGTGAAGGGATCTACCAGGACAAATACAACCTGAAAGTAACAGCCGGAAATAATTAAATTAAATGATACAGAACTTGAAGCTCCTCCTAGTCTAGAAAACAGGATAAGAGAAAAACGTCTCCAAACCTTGTAAAAAATCACAGAAGTGAACGAGAACTCATTCAGTATCAGAAGACCAAATTAAAAGGGGTATTTTAGGACAAATAAGATGCTATTCGTACATGGGGTGGTAATTTTTTTTTTTTAACTGTAAACAGCAGCAGCTCTCAGAGGAACACAGAGCAAAAGACTGCTTCTCTCCCTCAGGCTATGGGCTGTAAGGGCTCGGCAGGTGGGTCACACGTGATCTTGTCAGGCTCACGGTGCCTCCCTGTCTGGTATTACTGTCATGGGACACAAGTCCTCATGCACTAGAATTCCGACTCAGTGTTTAAGCATAACTGATGCATCCACAAGGAAAACATATTTACACACACAGCAATAATAAGTCTTATTACTTAAGAATAAAGATTTTTTAAAGGATATTTAAATCTAGGCTATAACCCTGGTTCTTTTTTTTTTTTTAAAGATTTTATTTATTTATTTGACAGAGAGCAATCACAAGTAGGCAGAGAGGCAGGCAGAGAGAGTGAGAGGGAAGCAGGCTCCCCGCTGAGCAGAGAGCCCGATGCGGGACTCGATCCCAGGACCCTGAGATCATGACCTGAGCCGAAGGCAGCGGCTTAACCCACTGAGCCACCCAGGCGCCCTATAACCCTGGTTCTATGTACAAATTAGTTGTCACGTTCCTTCCTATAATTCCTGCTAAATCCTATCACTGCAAAAAAGGTGGGACACCTGGGTGGCTCAGAGGGTTAAAGCCTCTGCCTTCAGCTCAGGTCATGATCTCAGGGTCCTGGGATCCAGCCCCCATTGGGCTCTCTGCTCAGCAGGGAGCCTGCTTCCTCCTCTCTCTCTGCCTGCCTCTCTGCCTACTTGTGATCTCTGCCTGTGAAATAAATAAATAAAATCTTAAAAAAAAAAAAAAGAAAGAAAGAAAAAGGGGGTTGCCAAGCATCTCCTTATTCACTTACGGAACCAGGTCCCTCTCTCCTTACAAATAATCTAAACTTAGGAGACCACGTCCTCCCTCCCCTGTTACCATGATGGCAAGTTGGGGCAAGGGGAGGGGGTGGGAGGGATAACTGTGGAAGATGCTTTTTCTCTTCCTGTCCCTTCAGGCCACGACTTCCTGTAATTCTGTAGCATGGAATCGGCTGGGGCACACATCATGCCTGCCATACTCCCGCCACCCCTTTTGCAGTGTTGGGCTGCTCCTTAGGATTCCAAGTGTACCTAGTCTAATGTGGGAAGCCCAATACAGGAGAGGCCAACATGAAACAGGGCCCAAGAATCGGAACTGTTCAGGAGGAGACTCCAGGATCACACACGTCCTGACTTCAGTTGGGAACCAAACAGAATCTCTCAATTTCCCACAAATTAGAGGAAGACAGGTTAGGTCATGTATTTACCATGTAGTTAAATGTGTCAAGTAACGTTTTCCTAGTGGGGTTTACAAGGGATGTGCCGCGGAGGCCCTCAAACACGGAACACCCCTCCAGCTACAACGCTGCGGGAGACACCAGACCCCAGTCAGTTCGGACACTCCTCACGCGGATCCTCTGGCTGCACTTAACCCAGCAGAAGGAGCCTCACTCTTCTGCTACTTGTTTAAATTCCAGAAAGTCGGGCACAGTGACACAGGGCTGCTCGCCTCTCCAACCCACCCCACCTCCCCACGCTTCGAGGCAGTGACATCTGCTGACACCACGTTTCCAGGACGCGTTGTCAGCAGCACAAACGGAAGCCTTACCCTGTTGGGCTGGAGTCTCGGCCGGCTGAGAGGCTGCCTGCAAGCCTGGCTCAGAAGCAGAGGAGTCCCCCAGCACAGAGTTTAGAGGAGTCTCCGCAGAGGCAGGGGCAGCTGCAGAGGGAGAAGGGAGAACACTAGGCTTGGATGAGGGAGTTGAGGCAAGAGGGGTGCTTGGAGGAGGAGAGGCTTGAGATCCACAGTGTGAGCGCGGTGCGAGGGAAGGCAGCGGAGGCGGCGGCGGCGGCGGCGCTGCTGGCCCTGAGGTAGGCGGCGGAGACACTGGACATGGGACAGAGTCAAGCGGCCCATTGGGTGCTGTTGGTGATGGAGGCATTGGGGGCACAGGAGAAGAAACACAAACAGGGAGGACAGGCCTGGGCCCAGTCGCTTTGCCTGGGGGGCTGCTAATCATTACTGGAGGAGATGGAGGGAGGGGCGAAACAGTGGAAGTAGACCAGGCACAGGGCTTCGCAGCTGAAGGCTGAGAGGAGGGTGTGTTCACAGGAGAAGAAGGCCGAGAGTTTTTATTCAGAGGACGAGGAACTGTAGCGTAATGGGGAAGAACAGGGTGGAAGGCTGAACCTACAGATGCTGCAAAACGTGTCGCTGAGTGTCGAAGTGGTGGTGTAGGGGGTGTGGAAGTAGGTGGCAAAGCGGTCACTACAGCATAGTCGGGAGTGGCCTCCGACACCGGAGCTGAGATGACTTTAGCATAGGATGGAGGAGGTGCCGAAGGAGGCTGGCAACTGGCATACTCAGGAAGTGGCGCGTTATACAGGGAGCTGTCGGAGGATGGAGCTGCACAGAAGGTGGGAAGCAGCAGCAAGGACAGGATAAAAAAGGAGAGAGAAAAAGGGAGCTAGTAAAGCCACAAAACCAGCATTCAGACAAAATGTACAAATGTAGACCACAGTTAGTACCCAAGAACTAAGCACGTGTGCAAGAACTGATCTCACCCGAGAATGTGTGAACTCGTTCGTGCATTTTGAAACCCAGAGGAGGAAGAAATGTTTTCTATTTAGCTGATAAGTATACGGATAAATTGCTTAAGCTTATCCCTTGCAAGAACAAGACTATCTTAATTCTAATTGTTTAGCCCACTAAAAGGACATTAAAATTACAGGAAGAGGACCACAAACAGAAGAATACATCTGCTGGTCTTTCAAGAACAACAAGTAGCGCAACTGGCAAAAAGTTTTTACAAAGGGCTAGGAACCCCCTATTCAATGCTTATTTGTGGATAAGTGTTGTTTTGTCGGCTATCACCCCAGAAAATAACTAGGCAGTTAAAAACAAATATTGCAAACAACAAACCAATCAACCACACTGGGACCCACAGTGAGACCTTTGATATAGGCATATGGAATAGAAAGATTATTCGGAAATCCTATTCCAATAAATGTCAATTTTAATGACTGACTCAAATTTTCACTTTTCTCTTAACCCTTAGGTCTTTCAATAAACTCCATCGGATTTAGACATTTTCACTAAAATTTTGCAATACCAGGACATCCGTAAACTACTTAGTCAGTTTTAGAGAGGGTATTTTCCTCCTTTGACAAGTCTAAGTGCCATCAAGCACATTTCTTGAATCCTATAGGATTCAGGACAGTTGAGGCAACCGCAAAAGGGAAAGAGATTCCTAGTTCACGCAATATAAAACGTTTCCCATGAAAAACACACTTGCACTTTACAGCCAATTTACTGTCAGTCAGAAGAATTAGAAAGCCGGACTACAAAGAGCTTTCCTAAGTCTCCAAGCAGTAAGTGCCATACAGAGAGGACTAAGAAAGTGGTAAAGTAGCAAGTGCTGCATGTTTTGCCCTGTCCTCCCTCCCCGCACCCAGTGCCCCACACCTGGTGCACCCCGCACCCCCGCGGCAGAGCCCGGCCTGCACTTCTTACCGGCGGCCGACAGCCTGCGCTCACGCTCCCACTCCAGCTGCTCGCGCTCCAGCTGCTCCTGCCGCTCCCGCTGCTCCCGCTCACGCTCCCGCTCCCGCTCCCGCTGCTCCTGGCGCTCCCGCTGCTCCTGGCGCTCCTGGCGCTCCCGCTGCTCCCGCTCGCGGTCGATCCGCTCCAGCCGCTCCCGCTCCAGCCGGTCCTGCCGCTCCCGCTCCCGCTGCTCCCGCTCCAGCTGCTCCTGCTCCAGCCGCTCGCGCTCCGCCCGCTCCACGCGCTCGCGCTCCAGCTCCTTTTGTCGCTGCTGCTCTTGCAGCTGCCTGAAATGTAAAAATGTTAACAATCAGAAATATGCAACAATGGCTACTCCTCACTGACAGCACCCACTCATCCAGATGAAGCTCTGCGTGCCTTAGTTCTGGGGCAGATACCAAGTGGAGCCTTCGATCAGCCAACACCCACCAGTGAAGAGATGGGAGCGGTCAAGCAGCCAGCGTTCCAGACAGGAAAACGACTCGGCTGGATCAGCCACACACAACACCAGCGTCTCACTCTAGTCTGCACTGTTCACGAATGAAGTACTACAAATAAATGAACTCCTGCTACCGAATGTTCACTGTACAAGGAACACATCCCTTCAGCAAACACAATGGCTGGCTGCAGCCGCAGCTCCGCGGCAGCTGGCTTCCTTTACTTTTGTGCCTTGTCCCTACGGCTTTGGAAGGACCGCCACCAGCAGGCTGGCTAGGGCAGAAATGGCACCATGTCTCAAGATTTGGATACATGGCTCCAAACTGTGTTTGGGAATGGTGACTGGGCCCACAAGCAGCCCGAGAGATGAGAGCTCCCTTTCTCCTCTCCAACAGTGAACACCATCACCGTTTTTACCGGCGGCCAAGAGGCTTGCTCCCACGGACAGCCCACACCATGCCCTTTCAGAGCGCAGCATCTGACCCATGGCTGGACGCGCGCTCAGACTGGCTTGCTCCCGGGAGAGTTCAGATTCCATGCTCATGTGAATAGCTCCTTTCTCTATTAAAGGTAATAATAACCCTTTGTCACAAACGCTGGTTGTATGTATTTTCAACTGTTATTATTGCTTTTTAGATGCCTTTGATTTTTAAAGTTTCATTTAAAACTACAATGTGTTAACTTTGTTAAAGTCGTGATCTGGCTTGTAACTTTTCCACTGAGAGTCTAATGCTGGTATTCCTTTATGTGATCTGCCTTCGCGATCTTTCTTGGCCCCTTCTCACAAGGTTATATAATTACACGTTTTTACAAAAAAACTCTTAGTTCCTATGAAATTCATCTTGGGTTTGGGATGTGTAATAAATACTGAGCTACATCACAGCACCATTTAGTTGCTTGTGGTCCTGATTTGGCATGCCAACTTCATGTGTCTTCACTGTTTCTGAAATTCCAGCATGTTCTGGTTGGTGGATCTGTTTGGTATGGTACCAGTTCCTTGATACTCTGCCATCTGAGATAAATACCTAGTAGGGTGCAACCATCCTTATCACTCCTTTTTGAGTTTTTCTAGGTGATTTTCAGACACTCAGCTTCTTCTGGGTACATTTCGGAATCCTTTGTTAAATTTACGCCTTCCACCAAGACCTATCCTTCTCAATTCTATTAATGCTTTATTAAATTTGAAGATCAGTGAGAAAAACATTCATGTATTTTAATCTCCTTGTCTAAGAATGTACGGAATGTCTCAGTATTTGTGCAATTAAATTAAAAATCTCCTTTCACTCTAGGACTTCACTCCTTCACTTCTAGAACTTATGCTAAAACTTGAGGCCCAATGTATATGGCTCTGAAACATACAGTTTAGTTTCAACTTCCATACGTATAGGTAACAGAGCAAGCAAATGTCTCCAAGTATCCAACCCAACCTCAACAATAGTTTTGGTATAAAAGTTAACTCTCCCCAAAATAAAAAATAGCCCCATCTTATATGTATTTCATAGCATTGTAGGTACGATTAAATGAAGCTCTTTAAAAAGTTCCTGGGGCATAAAAACACTCAATAAATGTGAGCTACAATGGGGAATTTCACATGTGGACTTCTCTTGGACTGGCTAATACACCGCAGGGTTCCTAGGAGAGGCACAGCTAAGCGACAGACTGTGGATGCCAGCCTTTGTCCCTCCCAGCACTACCAGGATACCACTTTTTCTCCAGAAATCTCTCCCCTTCATGTTTCCTAAACTAACTATAAAAAGGAAAGAGGCCACTTGACAAGTGAGCCAATCCCACTTGTCTCAGAAAAGCAGGAAGGCTCTCTCTGGGCCTATCCCTGTACTTAACAGTACCTGCATGGTGTGTGTGGGGGGGGGGGGTTGGAGCCCAACGGTGGCGCTCTGTGTGAGCGAGCGGTCGCTGCCTCAGACACTGGCCACAAAATTCTAAGGCAGACCTTTAGGGTGCGGTACTGACATCGTGATCCTGGCGGACAGAGCACTGGCTGCCACAGTTTCTGAGGGGTAACAACAATATTGCCGCAGGGGTGAAGGCAAAAAATTCAGGATATTCACAAGGATGTTCTCAATAATAAATGAGAGAAGAGTTGGCTAAATAAATGAACTCAGCCGGGACTTATATTTAAAACACACCATATGTGTCAAAAAATAGGAGCACACACTATACATGTGATACTCTAAGCAAGCTACTGGGTCCAGAAGGGAAAGACACACCCGTACTATTCTAATTACAACGCACCTGTGTACAGAAGCTAAGGGAAACTGTTTAGCTTCAGAGTGCGGCAGCTCCCCAAGAAATCGAGGACGAAATGACACAAGTTCCTAGGCCCTTTTCTGTTCCCATGCCATCTCTTTCATTTTATTCTTTTCAACACAATACAGGTACATAAAGCTTATTAACAAAAACTAACAGCTCATTGCTCCAACCTTCCCACCCATTTCCAATTACTGTCAATTCTTTTGGGACATTTCTTTGAACTTCAGACACTGCCTACGGGTAACTCCTGTGGCTCCCTCACCACATCCAAGCCTCCCCCAGCACAATCACAGGAGAACACACCTTCCTGGTGAAATCGATATTCAGAATCTACGTTTTTAAGACAGCTACACCGTACAGTATCCTAAGACTACACTACATTTCTCTTCTTTATTTATTTTAAGTCATCTCCACACCCAGTGTGGGGCCGGACCTCAGGCCCCTGAGGATCAAAAGTCGTAAGTTCTTCCAACTGAGCCAGTCGGGTGCCCCACGCTGCATTTCCTACTGACATTCTTTGGTTTGTTGTGTTGTTTTGTTCTTTTTACCTCACAGGACACGGCCACTTCTCCAAGCCACACATGCTTTTATCACAAAAATAAACTCAAGCCACACACAGGAAGCCAGATCTCAAAGAATTACTGCATGACGGCATTTACAGCCGGGATTCCTGATTTAGGAAGATTATTCCACATGTCAGAACGTCGTATTTATTCAAGGGTTTTCAGTCTTTCAAGATCAAGAATGTCTACTGATATAGGAAAGGAGTATGGTGCCAGAGAGATTCCCCAAGCTCATGGGTAGTGAGTGGAAGAGGCAATTCACAGAGCTGCAAAAGATTTTCTTAATTTGAAGGGGGAAAAAAGGAGGTGATGAAACTCCCCGGTAATTTTTAGCCTGCTCCCTGAAGGGATGCACATCTAAATATATTTCCCAAAGTGGTGTGTCAGAAAGAAAATCTCAGGCTTACAAATCTTTAGTGGCATGAATAATTCCCACCTTAAATGGATGATATATAAACCTGACATTCATGTTTTGACCTCTAAAGCAGGACATCTATATTATCTTTTTAAGGGGACAGTTTCCAAGTTTATAAACCCTGCTTTGCTTAGAAGCATCACTGCCGACTCACAGACAGGGAACACACGTGACTCTTCTTCCCAGAGCTACATCTACAACCGTTCTTTACTCACTGTTACAACCACCAGAAGACTTCCTCACAATACAAGGGCTTGAATTCTGAACTATGCAAGAATTCTGCCAGACTAATTCTTAAGCTAGGATATGTGTTTTACATCAACTTGGAAGTTTCTGAAAAAATATACAATTTTTCAAAGACAATTATAGGGCAAATGACCAATATTATAGCCACCAAGAGCATTTAAAAAATCATCAGAAATCGTTCCTCCCACCACCAAAATACCTACTTCCTCCAAAGAGCCATCCCCAAATGTAAAGAGATTCCCAAAGCACTAGCCAATGATGAAGTTAATAGCTTTTTCTTAAATATATTCAGACACAGATTTAGTTTATGTTGGCTCAAAGACTTTTTTTTTTTAAAGTAAGCAAAATATAATTAAAGTTTAAAAATAAATTTAATATGGCTTTACCTATGCGGCAGAGTGTTAGGTTGGTCAAGAACATTTAAACTTTGACACAATGAAGTAGAGGAGAGCAGATCTGGCAATCAACCTGAGTTGATAACATTTAGTAACACTACAATGTTCCTGACATTTGTCAGAAAGAAAAAATTACATGACTACATTCTGATCACATCATGTGGATATCTCACTTCTCTCTTAGCAAACCAATGGAAAGTGGACAAAACAAAACAAGACCATCAAGACATCACGCTGTGGGCCGTACTTACAGGAGGAGGCGGTCGACTCTCGGCCCATCCTGCCTGTGAAGGCCGACTGGGGGGCTGTACACCCTCATTGCTGCCCGCTGCCTCGTGCTGGGACAACCAGTCCCCTTTTATAACTTTCAGGTAGCAGTGCTGATCTGCTAACTATTTATAGACATTAACTAAATTGAGTTCTATGTTGAGACTAAACACAGGACTGAGTCATGTTTCTTAAATACGTTTTCCATCACTGTCGAAGAAGCCAAATATTAGTAATATGAGTAGACACCAAAAGCTGATATTAACAAATGAAACAAAAATGAGTAGAAAACTAAACCATACTAACATCATGGGATGACAGGACTGACTAACATCCAAAGTCAACATTTGTTTCTTCAACTTGAACTCACCCTCACTGAAGGAAAATAATGAAATGTATAAAATACACTCACAGCAGGAGGACAAAGTTTGTAACAAAACAAGAATCCTTCCCTGGGGAGGGACCCTCCCTGCTCCTGATTTCTCTCTCCAGAAGCAACTACTTTCAATCTGGTACTGAGCTTGTGTTTCTAAACACCATGGTGTGCTCAGAGCGGCTCCTTCTTAGCCCCCAGACTGCCGTTCTCCCGCACGAAGGAGCGCATTCCCACCCCTTCGACCCGCAAAACCTCTCTCTCCTCATTCTTCCAACCAAACCACACTGTCACTTCAGTCACATTATTCATGGCTGGT